AAAAATAAAGTGTCTCCACTGTCCAGGGCCTAATGTATACATACACACACTCACGCATACACTGTGGACAGACTGCAGAAATAATGATTATGTGCGTGTGTTGTGCATCGGTTGTCTGTTTTCAGCTCTGGCTTTTAAAAATAATTGCTGTTGGTGCTGCAGCCATATCAGAGGAAGGCCAGTAATGATTCTCGCCAGTCGTGTGGAACGCGGCATGTGGGGAAGCGGGTGGAGACAGACGCGAGAATAAAGGCGGCTATCATTTCTATGTGAGTGTGTGTGTGTGTGTGTTTGTCTGCCTGGCACATAATTATGGTTGTATAAGGTTGTGTATTCATATGGTGTGTGCGAGGTGCTATGATTACAGCGAGCGTGTGTGCAAATATACTCCAGCCCCCGTCTATAAATCAGGTGTGAATTGAAGAAACTGATGAGTCGAGAATCTCATTTGAGTGTGTGTGTGGGATCACAGAGGGATTAGAGTTGGATATAAAGCTGCACAGGTGTCTGAGACTACCTCATAACCCGCTCACACACACACACACACGCACGCAGCATTTTAATTGTCTTTCTCCTTTTCTTCATCACTTTTATTGGCTCTCCTCTACAGTGTGCGCTCTGGGTAAAGGTCACTGCGCTCCACCATCTTACTCACTCACAGCGTTACTAGCCATGAAACTAGTCTGCCTTTTAATTTAAGCTGAATTCTCCTATGCTGAAAACCTGAAATCTCATATGAGCCCAAATTGCGTCATAAAATCATAAGAGTGTAATAGTGATTTGTTCTGGGATAGAGATTTTAATGCAGGTAAAGATTAAGTTAGCACTTCTATTTTGCGTCCTTTGCAGAGGAATATTATTAGCATATTATATGTATGTATGTATATACTGTATATAGAATTTTATCTCAGCTTGTAACATTTCTCATTTCCATTTAGTTTACTTTAAGATTTCATTGAGCTTAAAGGGGTAGTTCACCCAAAAATGAGAATGCTGTCATTAATTATTCACCCTCATGTCATTCCAAACTCATAAGAAACTTCGCTCATCTTCGAACAGAAAATAAGATATTTTTGATGTAATCCGAGAGCTTTGACCGTTTCTGAATGTTCATTTTTGGTCGAACTATCCCAGAACTATACCACAACTAAATATACTAAAAACTAAAACATGATAAATAACTATATAGACATACTTTTAAAAACGAAAACTCATTAAAATGACAAAAACACAGCAAAATTACTAAAATGTTTACTAAAATTAAAATTAAAATGGAAAATATCAAAATAAAATCTCATTCAAAATATTAACAAAAACTATAATAGTATATCAGTTTTTTCCTTTGTTTTCCCTGGCAGTAAAATAAACCTGCACTTGGACCCAAAACCCTTGCTCACACGGTGTGTCTTTCCTGACCGCGCCGTGACAAGTAATACTTAACACTGATACACACAAAAGTTTGGGGTCAGTAGGATGTTTACACTCGAAAATACAAAAAAAATCATTAAAATTGAAAATATCTGTTTATTTGAATATATTTTAAAATGTAATTTTAATAATACCTGTGATGTCAAAGCTGAATTTTCAACATCAATACTCCAGTCTTCAGTGTCACATGGTCCTTCAGAAATCATTCTAATTACTAATTTGCTGCTCAAGAAACATTTTATTATCATATTGAAAATGGTTGTGCTGCTTAATATTTTTGTGGAAAACATGATGCATATATTTAGGATTCTTAGATTTTTTTTTTTATTACATACATTATAAATGTCTTTACTGTCACATTTTATCAATTTAATTTATCAATGCTTAATAGTTTCTTCAGACAAACCAGTCAATTCAAAGGTAAAAAGCTTATTACAGGTAGTCCCAAAATCAGGTCAATTAACTAGGAAGTGAACATAATAAAAGCTATTGTGTAGTTATAGTATATCTGCACATTAGGCATTATTTGAGATTTTAACATCAAAATTACACGCTTGGCCTTTAATTAGGACTAATTTCTGTCTCTTCAGGCCCGGGCGTGTGAGGGGCGACTGGCGGAGCTGCACACCCAGCTGACACACTCACAGCAGCAGATGACGGCCCTGCAGGCCAGAGACGAGGAAGTGCTCATGCTGAAGATGGAGATGGTCTCTCTCAGAGACAACTACACTGCTTAAGTAGCTCAGGTCAGCCACAGTATCCCAACCTCATTTCTATTATTCTGCTGTGTTTCTGTGTTCATTTGTCTCTTCCAGTGCAGGTTGAGGCTTTGCTCTCACAGATGGACGCTGTCAATCAGAAGTACAGCACAGCTGTGTGTGAGGCCGATGTTCTGCGGCAGTGTTTAGGAGACACACGGAGTGACAGCTCTCGACTTCACAGGGAAAGCGAGCTAGTCGTGACAATGTGAACCAGTGGGTGAAGGAGCAAAAGTAAGAATCTTGTCTTCTGCATTCAACCACAATGATCTTATTGAGAAGTAATCATTCAGTAGCATGAAATTACATTCAGTACCATGAAATGACATTGCCACAGTACTTTTTTGTAAGGGTAAAAAGCTTAAAACACAGCTGCTGGAATACTTGATTCTGGTTGGACGATTACTGCATTCTGCAGACAAATGTTTTTTGTATAATGACAACTATATTGTATAATTGATCATGACAGGCAATACCGTTATTCTTAAAACTAAAACTATTAAAAATCATTTTTTTGGTAATTGAAATAAATCTTAAATAAAATATGTTATAATTGTTAAATATTAAATATGTTAACTATTAGATGAAAAAATGATTTACATTAAAAAAAATTAGTAATGTTGCCTTGGCAACTAACGGAAATAAATGTTTATGTTGAAGTACTAAAATTGAAAATAAAAATAAAGCTTGATAGAAATATTCACAAAATCGCATAAAATGATTAAAACGTCACTATAATTCAAATGAAAACTAAACATATAAAGTATCAAATAAACCTGAATTCAAAATATTAATAAACTCTATAATAGTATATAAATAATACTAAAATAACACTGGTCCCAGGCAACTGATTTATTCTATATACTGACAAATATTATTTACTTTGAATATTTTTGTTTAGAAATTGCTAGTAAGTTTCACACACAAAAAAAAGACAAAGAAATGGCAAGTAACACGTTGAAATAAATTGAAAGTAGAAAGAATTTCGTATTTTTGTTTGTTTGTTTGTTTTGTAAAGCATACTCCAAAAATCGTTCAAAAAATATTTGTTATAGTGTAGCTTTGCTAGTTTAATGTGTTTTGTATCACTCCATCTCTTCTATCATAACAAAATAAAAATTTCAACTCAAATCAGAACTTCATGTCTATTTATGTGTTTATATTTTGTATTTTATAAGTAGCTATGTAATTAACAGTCAGTCATCATTGCCAAATAAACACCTTCATACACTTTAAAAAATGATTTTGAAATATTGAATAAATTTGAATAAAGTTAATATTATAGGAGTACCTTTGTAATGTTTTTCATTCAATTTTTTGTAGTTTGTTATGAGATTTACAAGCAATTTATGAATGAAAAAGTTTTTTTTTTTTGCAATAATGACCGTCTGGCTGAGTGTTTTCCCTTACGTAACATAAAATGTGAGTTTTTACTGCATTATATGTCGCAGATCGTATCCCATGTTGCACTGCATAGTTCCTGCTGGAACCAGTATATAGATTTACAAAGTCTAATGGTGCATCAGAACTCTTGCATCCAGAGAGAGGCAGTGTTATAATGGCTGTATCATTATCATTCAGCATCATGGTTCATTGTGACAGCAACTCGCAGCTTCCTCACTGCAGCCCATTATCTCTGCCCCTGCTCCACTCCAGGCACACTAATGAGAAACTGGCACTCAAGATCAAAGACCAGAGCAGGAAGATCATCCACCTGACAGCTGAGAGAGAGTAAGCCCCGCTCACCCTGTCCAAAGCTGTTTCCGCTCCTCTCAGCTGGAGTGTGTACAAACATGGATTTTAGGTCCAAGTAGCAGGGAATGTGCGTGCAAAGATACGGTGAGAGGGTACACTTATGTGAAATGGGTTTAGGCTGTAATGTTTGTCCTGTCTTCATGCAGTCACCTTCAGGAGAATGTGAAGGGTTTATAGGGGGAAATCAGGAGGCTGAAAGCAGAGCTGGATAGAGAGAGAATGGAAGCAGAGCGAATGAAGGTAACACACACTCCAGCGCAAAGCCTCTAACACACTCCAGATGGTTTTATCAGTATCAATTTTTAAGTTGAAGTCAACATGAAACCGAAGTCTTACTACCGTATTGTGACATATTTCAGAGTGAAACGACTATTGAGTAAGAAAAAAATGTTCTGCGGCACTTAATCAGTTACTGACTGGACTGTGAAAGCTGGTCATTGCATACAGAAATGGAGGCAGATCTGAATGCGACTGGCTTAACTGCAGACTTGCATAGACACTGAGTTAGTCACATCATGGGAAGAGCAAGTTATAACATTCTGATTAAAGATTTTAAAAAGTAAACAATCAACCAATCAATAATACACTACCATTCAAAAGTTTGGAGGCAGTACAATTGATTTATTTAGTTTAAATTTGTATTCAATTATTTATTTATGTTTTTAAGAAATTAGGGGCACATTAAACAATGATCAAAAGCGACAGTTGTTAATGTTCCAAAAGGTTTCCAAATAAATGCCGTTCTTTTAATTCATCAAAGCGTACGTAAAAAAAAAAACGTATCGTGTTTTCCACAAAACTATTTAGCAGCACTGTTTTCGACAGTGATGATGATCAGAAATGTTTATTGAGCAGCTAACTATATTATATTAATATATTAGAATGATTTCTGAAGGAAAATCATGTGACACTGAAGACTGGAGTGATGAGGCTGAAAATTCAGCCCGGACAAATGACGTTTTAAAATATATTAAATTTTATATTGTAATCATTTTTCACAATATTACTATTTTTACTATTTGAGTTTTTTGATCAAATGAATGCAGCCTTGAAGAGCACAAGAGACTTTAAAAGCATTCAAAAATATTACCCCAAATATATATAAAATAGATTCTCGGCTCAATTTGCTCGCAATAAGTCCAGTAACATGCGTTAAGAAAATCCATTTTGATTTCATGTTGGCTTTAAATTGTATATATATATATATATATATATATATAAGATATTAGATTGCCTTTGATCCTGTAATTGGTCACCATTTTAGTCACATTTTTTGCATTTTAATGTTTAACGTTGCATTTTAAAAGTTACATTAATTTTACATGGTCCCGCTGTGTGTTTTGTCTGATGAATATGAAAGTACAAATAATCCATGTAGCCCTCCAGTGATCTGCATGCTTAATAGTTATACTTATAACAAAATACTGTTCCAAATCCTTGCCGATTGAGAGAATGATCAATTATACCCTGTAGAATGTGTATTTCTCTTTATTTGTGTATTCTTGGTCATATATTTTGATAAGATTCTTATCTTATTTGTAACAATCAACTCAACTCACAAGTTACAATCGTCATTGAGTGAATATTAACATTGACCTCTGTGGCAAACAGGCCATACCTCTAATCTTCAGTATAAACCGGTCTTATATGCAGGTTTTGCCTCAAATCACCTGTCCAGTTTGATCTTTCTTCTTCTCCTCTTATAATTCCTGAATGACCCGTGCTGGCCATTTCCTATTACACCTCTCCCTGTCTTATTATTCTTTCTCTCTTCCTCTATTCTCTGTTATCCCGTACTCATGCATAACATCAGCGAGGCCATCTTTGTTGTGATTAGGTTGGTATTTCTATCAGATGCAGAGAAAAGGTGTCCTATAACCGTGTCACCATTAGCCATCTCATTCTGGAGCGCATGTCCTCTCGCCGCGGAATGATCCTGCTCTGTAGGTACAGGCTTATCCTCTGTAATGTGGTCTGATCTGATTCACACTTGTGAAATTGGAAAGGAGAAGTCTAGAGATGATTGGAGAACTTTTGGCATAGTAGTGGCCGAGGGCTGGAGCTGCCGGTCTGAACCCAATCATTGGGGTGTTGTTGACTGTCCTGATGAGCCCGTCCTGCAGGGGTGAACCCATTCTCCTCCCTGTTTGTTCTCAAGGTCCAGGACCTGCTCCACATGCCACCTTATTCCATTACTGATGAAGGAGCAGCAGAGTCAGAGATCTGCTCAGGCCTGACTTTACAGAGTTAGTACTTCAGAAGTTTTATTCAAAGAAAAGTCAAAGAGCCAGTGAAGGGTCTGGTATTGTTACCACAGAAAGTCTTGACTAATAGTGCATTTTTGAAGAAACGGTTCACCCAAAATTGAAAAATTCTGTCATCATTTAGTTTACCAAACCTCTATGAGTTTATTTCTTTCTTGGAACACAAACAGTGAATTTTTATGATTTATTGCTGTAGCTCTCACCAAATATGGTGCCGTTAAATGTTCTTTGTCAGGTTTGATGTCTGTGACATTTGGTCATGAGAGACTTGAGAACCCAGCTGGATCAGTAGTTTGAAATGGCACCAAGTACATACAACTTTTGTAGTCCATTGGACATCTTTGGTGGACATGGACATGATGATGGTAAAAGAAATGGCTTAAATTTCGGACTGTTCCTCAAAGTTAAAATGTCTACTGAAGACTTGGAATGTATTATCATACAGTATGTTTTAACAAAGGTGCTTTACTGCTAATATTAATATTTGAAATTATACCTATTCAAAAACATGTGGCCCAGCTAACATGCAAATATATTTGCCACACACCACATGACATTAATTCAGATAATATTTTGTTTTCATTTTAATTTTAGTTTGAGTAATTTTGTTTTGTGTTTTCTTCATTTTTAGTATTTGGTTTTTATATTTCTATTTAGCTTTTTTTTAACTTATTTTATATCAGGTCATTTTTATCCAATATATTAATATGTTCTTTTATTTCAGCATTATTACAATTAACAAAAATGCGTTGCTTAACTTTATACATCTCTGATTTCTAAGAGCTTGGCATATGTGTTTGAAACCAGATTGTTAAGAGTTTCTTTCTTTTTTTCATTGTGAACACTCTCATACATCATTGACTCATGAGCCACTTTTACTGGTTTTATTATGGTGTTTGTTTGACATATTCATTCCCTTTGATTATATTGAAAGAAGGGGCCTGAATTTTCTTTAAAAAAGAAAAAAAAACACGTTTTGTGTTTCACAGTGTTAATTTTGACAGCAAATTTTGATTTACTTTTAGTCATAGTCTTTTGAATAAAATGGCATTTAGTTTTAGTCATATTTTAGTCATCTGAATTGTTTTTAGTTTTAGTCGACTAAATATCATAAGATTTTAGTCGACTAAATCTGCAGTAAATGTAGTCGGCTAAAATCTAATGGGTTTAGTTACAGTGCATTAATTAATAATTTCTCTAAAATTTCCAATCTCATTATATAGGTTTGATATTACATTTTTATCATGATAGACACCGGTTTAACTGCGTTGGCACACAACATGCCTTTATGTTCAAATTAAATAAAACCACTTCTCATAAAGAACAAGAACATGGTCTTATTTTTAATGAAATACCAATGGTTATACAGGCTTTATAGCAACTTGTTTACCATATTCTTCATTCTTTCAAGCAGACATATTTATTTCTATAAATCAATTTAGATTAATCTTTAGGGCTACTAAAGTTTTTCAGTCAAGAGCAGTGCGTGATTTTCTGTCTTTCTTTTGTTGCTTGATTAACATCAATGACTCGGGCAAAAGCAACTAAATTAGGCTGCTGTCCCTTTAAAACCGAATGCACAGCTGCAATTGATGCAATGTACTGATACACGTTCTCCCTACTGTTTACGTTCACTTAAGACGTAATCAACTGTGTTTATGTGAATACTCGTCAAAACGGACAATTCGACACAATTTTGTGTGCAATCCGTTCATGCGAAAGAGTACTCGCGCACTGTGAGAGGCGCTTTCTGTGTGTGTGTGCTTCAGTGTCTGCTCTCAGAAAACCGGACCGAATTGAGTTCTCTCTTGCGTCGTCAGATTTATCCATATGTCTGCTCTTCTCTTACTCCCACATATTGACATTTTTTTAAGTTTTATGCGACGTGCAGCAAGTGTATGTTAGCTTATGTCCCGCCGGTTCTTATGTACGCATCTAACCTCCGAACCACGCAGCAGATTCGTTCTGAATGAATCTCTTCCCAAATCGTCCCTCCCTAACATTTTCGTCTCGTTTTTATTCGTTGACGAAAAGGTCAATAGATTTGCGTCATAGTTTTTGTCATTCAAAAAGAGTTTTAGTTCGTTATCCTCTTGTTGTCGTCGGTGAAAATTATTTGTCAACGAAATTAACAATGGTGTTTCACTGAAAAAAAGTTGTACAGGTTTGTAAAAACGTGAGGGTAAGCAAATAAAGATAATTAATAATAATAATAATAATGATCATTTTTGGGTGAACTATTTCTTTAAGTGCGCGTGTAAATTTTTGTTGGTAGATGTGAAACCAGTAGAAAGGACAAACAACATCCACAATGCCCATTTGCTGAGTACTGATACCAAAGTAAAGCTCAGCTAATGTTCTTCTAGGACACCCCAAGTACCTTCAGGACAGAGTAAATACAAATAAATAGATAGGAGAGGAAATGGCTTGTAGGCTTGTGGTTTATTTATGACAGGCAGGGCTTCTTCTGCATGCATGAATTCCCAGCTTTCATTAAGTGTCATTACTAGACAAATCTGCTGAGACCTGACATACAGCCCGATTCGAGGCAGCATGTATATGGATGGACTCTTCCAAGAAGAAGGGGCTTGATCCTTTGGATGAGTAGATTCAGCTGTTAGTAAATACAGAACAGTTTGACTGCTTGATTTGTTGTGATAAATAACTTATAATAGCCTCAGTCGTTCCATCAGAAAGCGATGGTCGTGTTTATACCACTGCGGAGGAGGGCATATATGGTCGCATTTAATGGTTGTTTTTTTTTTAACTAATGTATAGATTTTAGAAGAGAAATAAAACAGAGATGCTTTTACAAGACATGCTTTCCCCCCAAACCTTGCTATTCATTAGCAATTTCCACTTTCCAGTTGACTTCTTGCGACGTCCCCTGATTGATAGAAAGCCTGCCATATTTATTTGGATATCAGGGAATGAAATATTCATATTGTATGCTTTTCCAAGCAGAAGTTATCTGGG